GTGTAGAAATCCCTGATTTTTTTTTTTTTTTTTTTTTGTACATCTAAGAAAAATAATGTTGCATTGTTCAATAACTAATTTATAGATATAAACTAGTTGCAAATATCTCGCAATGCACATATATTTATTCTTGCACCGTGATTCCACACACAACGTTAAAAATGTAAAGACGTTGTGTCCAAGGGGGTGCGCAGCGCTTCAACAAGGCTTCTTTGAGCCAAATAGAAAAACGAGAAACCGGGATTCGATCCTAGGACTTTCGGATTATCAGTGCCGCGCACTTATCGACTGAGCTAATCGACCGTTCCTTCTTAAGTTCTTCTTTCTGGCTTGATATTCAACTCTTTAACTGCGTTACGTACAATATTTAATATATAAAATTTGTAATTTTATATTTAATGTTTCACACTGTTAAAGAAAATATTTACATATCAACCAATATCTCAATTCAATTATATTTACATATCAACCAATATCTCAATTCAATTATATTTACATACCAACCAATATCTCAATTCAATTATATTTACATATCAATCAATATCACAAATTCAATTATATTTCTTTCTTCATAAAAACTTCTTTTTCACCAAACGACTAAAATAAAGCCAAACATGATACAATCTGTCCTCATGATACAATTTAGGTATCAGTTAATACGTGTGTAAGTACCTTAAAGGATTAAACCTCATGGAACAAACCTGTGCTGGAGTAGGAATGCTAGGTGCGGGCGTTCCAGGACTCGAGCTCGCAGGTGGACTCTCCCTGGAACTTGGCGCAAGGTTCATACCCTGAGCTTGACAAACGACAGCCGCCGTGGCAATCTGATTATGAATATTGGAAGTTGCGCTGGTGTTTTGAAGCGTCTGCGGCGAATTAGCCGTAGCTGCGCTACTCAGACTGCTGGTACTACTATACCTCGTACCACCCCGAGCTAGCCCAGTTACGTCAACTTCCATATTTTCTGAAACTTGAATAAGAGAGTTATTAGATTAGAAATTACAATCACATCGTCAATTTTATATCACATCCATTAAAAAAAAGTTTCGCTTGAACGAGCATTAAATTGTATTTTCAAGTAAATTAATGTCTTCAAAAAACAGAAAATAAGAAACGAAGAGAAAGTTCATGTGCTCCATAAATTTTAAAATGTAGCAAATTGTAGTAAATGTAGATATGACATATATATATATATATTTAATGTTAAGAAAACTCATCAGCAAAAATGTAAAATGTCACCATAAGCTATAATCATTAATGTAATTTACCATAACTTAAATTTGGGCAAATTTAAATGTTTTTTAAACATAAAAACATTTAATATCTTTTTAAACATAAAAATGTAACATTTGAGAATATAGTTAAGAACACTTTTAAAGTTTCAAACTACTATGCGTAAATAATGCAATATACATATTGGCCAATTACGATCCGTCTCGGAACTTGATGGAATCGTTGAACCGTTTCCGGTACTCCGAGAAATGATTTGAAAAAATGCCAACATTCTCGTTTGAATTATAAAGGCTCACCACTTCTCGTGGCCGCGACATCCGCAGTCGTATTCTGTTCCGGTAAAAGAGTATTAAAATCAATGTGATCCCAAGTAGCAGCGAGTTCCTTCTTCAGGGCTAATAATCTTTGTTGAGCGGCGATTTTTTCCCTGGCGAGCCTTTCCATTTCGTGTTCGTAGTCCCGTTCCTTCCGTCTTAGCATCTGCAACGAAATCCTCGCGATGAAGAAGAAATCAGTACGAATGATGTACAATAGTAATGTAGAAATAATGTACAAAAGTTTAATTTTATTTTACATATGTAAATTATTAAAAACTGGCATCATTAAAAATTAGTGTTCACACCATGTGCTACTGTATCACACTATACAGTACTACATACTACTGTATCACAGTATACAGTATATATATTACTGCATCACATCAATGTACAGTGTATGTACTACTGTATCACAATGTACAGTATACGTACTAGTGTATCACAATATACAGTATACGTACTGGTGTATCACAATGTACAGTATACGTACTACTATATCACAATGTGCAATGTATACGTATGTACTGTATCATAATGTACAGTATATTGCTATATCACAATATACAGTATACGTACTAGTGTATCACAATGTACAGTATACGTACTGCTATATCACAATATACACTATAGGGCGTATTACTGTATCACAATACACAGTATACGTACTGCTATATCACAATATACAGTATATGCGTATTACTGTGTCAAAATATATAGTATACGTACTGCTGTATCACAATATACAGTATACGCGTACTACTGTATCACAATATACAGTATACGCGTACTACTGTATCACAATATACAATGTATACGTATGTACTACTGTATCATAATGTACAGTATACGTACTGCTGTATCACAATATACAGTATATGTACTGATATATCACAATATACAGTATACGCGTACTACTGTATCACAATATACAGTATACGCGTACTACTGTATCACAATATACAGTATATGTACTGCTGTATCACAATATACAGTATACGTACTGCTATATCACAATATACAGTATAGGCGTATTACTGTATCACAATATACAGTATACGCGTACTGCTGTATCACAATATACAGTATACGCGTACTACTGTATCACAATATGTGTCATTTTAAATATCAGAAAGTAGATCATGCCAACAATATACTGTCAGAAAATAGACACGCATGTTTTGGAATTTATGACATCAATTACTGTAACCCGACCCTCACGAAAAATTGTTGCGAAGAAAGCTCGTAGACGCGTTCAGGCGGTTCATTTTCAAGAATACCGTAACGCGAGCGTCACACGACACTCCTGCAGATTCAGGACACCTCTCCCTCGAAATACGATAAGCCTTGCATTTGACGTCAGCATGAACATGCGTGAAAGAACGTGCACATGACAACGAGGTCTTGACACCCAGGGAACGCGATGCACGGCGTTTCCAGAAAAGCCAGTGGAGGAGGAAAATATGCAAGGAAATATGCATACACGAAAATTCCTGTCGTGTGCGAATTCGAATCTAATCATGTTCAACTTGCCACGCGCTCGTACTGGTCGCCAAGACAAAAATTTGCAATGTAGCAGTTTCTTAACCGCGTTCAAACAGCTCCAGCGAGGAAATTCTAGCGATTTTATACTGTTATAAAATGGTTATAGAACCGAAATGTAAAGTTGATTCCTTTTTAGAATAATTACTCCAAATCGTAGCTTTAATAGATGGAAATGTCATCAATAAGGATCGAGCAATTTATTGAAATACAAATAACGTCCGAAATGAATTCTAAAATCACGAACGTAACGCGAAGCGTGAAAGTGTGCAAGATCAATCACTCGAAAGAACGCAGAACGTGTAACAGCAGAAATTTCGGCTACCACCTCCCGTCAGTAAACGTGATAGGCGTTCGATTTTCGTATCAGCAGAAACACACATTTCGCAGAGAGACGCACGTGACAGTAAATGGCAGCACTGCCGGCGTGCGCTGATACAGGTACTATCTATACTTTACACGTGGTGTGGAATCGTCAACGGGGAGGAAGAAAACGCTGAACAAAGACGCGATCGGGATCGCCAACTTGCCACAGAGAGATGATCGAACAAGGTGCTTCGAAGGAAAGGAAGAAGAGGGGCAGACGAACGAGGACAGACGATACAATTACGAAACGAGGGGAAGGGGAAGAACGAGCGAAGGAGAGTGCACGTTGCGGAAAAGACTGAGAAACAAACAGAAATAGACAGACACATGTATCGAAGAGTAGGAAAGTTGAAGGGAGACAGAGTGACGGCAGCGGCAAGGATGAGGAGGAGGAAGAAGAACGAAGGCCGTTGCGTGAATACAATACGCGCATGCGCGGCTTACAAGCACGTGGGTAAATCGTCTCCAACCGGGATTCGCGCGCGCGCGCAGGCGCACACGCATACACGTGTATGCAAATAATATTACCGTTTCTTTCTCTTCTCTATATACCGCACGTCGTACCAGTCGATGTTCGCACGCGTGCATTTACTCGCGTACTTTATTAGACTCTATCGAGACCGCGCGTGCACGCAAGACTAGCGGATTTTTTGCGAACTAACTAAGAAAAGGATAAGTTAGATCCGCCTGGGGCGTCGCCGTACCGACCGTGGATTACCTGTTTCCTTTCGTATCCGTATCTCCGATTTACCTCGCTCTTTTTTCTCAAACATTTATCTAGGTTTCTCCGTCGAGTAGCCTTTTACGCGATATTTATTACGACCGATATACGCCCCGGCTGTCGAGGGAATATCCCTCGTTATCACGCCACTTAAGGTCCAACGATTATGCGACACCTCTCGGTTGCCGATTATCGACAGGAACGTTTCCATGCGGGCTCCGGTTTTGGCATTGGAGTTTCAAAACGGCGGATAGTAACACCTGCGACAACCGTAATTCCCTGAAATAATATCCCCCCCCCCCCCCGTCTCAGTTTGCTTAACGATCTTGAAAGTCTGGCAGCTATTCGCCAAGTTATTATTACGTAGATAATCGCGTAGTTTATTTATGTGTCGCCTAAGTTTCACACCGAGCCACAGATAATCCACGATCTGAAACACGTTCGATCGTTTCTTCGTTCGAGACGATATAGAGAACATTTGTCATTTCAAAATGTCAAATTATTCCTTTACGGCTCCAAAACTGATTCCGTATCGCGTTTATATTAACCCCCTTGAGCTGGCAACTGGTTCGCGGACCATAACGAGTGACCGAACCGTATACAATAACTCGTCGCTTTCTTTTTCTTTTAAACTCGTCGGTACGATATCACTGGATAGAAATCATTAAGAAGTAATAAACCTATCATTTGTCTTGCCTAGGTTACGTTTAAATATACTTAAAATTGAGGAAATGTTGCAATTTGGAACAAAAAAATTCTCGACGTGCGTGGCACGTCACTCCAGCGCAAGAAACCACGATATGTAACGAAAGGCTGTGCGAATTGACATGCGTCGGCGACGCATCATTCGAGAAGAGGTAATTCCGTGTAATTACGCAGAAACATGACGTTACGGTAAGTCGTCGTGCAATTTCGACACGTCGGCTTGGAAGCATCATCGTTCCTCGTTGCTTAGAGCTGCGGCAACAATGGCGCCGAACGATAAAACTTCGAACAGCAGCGTAAGTACGTGCCATGCGGCGTGACACCGATGGCCGTGCAATCACGTGGAACCAATATAGGTACTCACAACTTCTACGCATACGCGCGGAGAGCACCAGACGAAGAAAGCGAATGTCTCACGTGGTGAAGGGAGGGAAGGGGATAGAGAAACAGTGAAGAAGAGAAAGACGACGATCGACGAAGACAGGACAATGCCGGGGTTCGACGGAGAAAGAGGGAGAGTGGAAAGAAACTGCAGATACGAAACGCAGTGGAAGAGAAGATACAGAACGCGACAGAGAGGTCAGGAGCGCAGACAGAGAATGACAGATAAGAGACGAGGCTAGAAAGCCTGGAAGGGAGTGGGGATCGCGAGACAAAGACGAAAATACGAGCGAGAAAGAGAGACGCAACACGGAGGAGGAGGGGGAGAACAACATGTCTCTAGAAATGACCTCGTGCGGCAGACGGAGCAACGGGAAGAGTGAAACCATCCGGACGAGGAGGAAAGACGAACATACCGTAAACGAGCGGGACGACAAGAAAAAAAGAAATTACGATTCTCGCGTAAAAATGAAGTAATATAAAATGCGTGTGAACTCGAGCGGGCGAAGGGGAAAGAAGGGAAGGAAATACGATACTCTGGAAATGATATACGCATGCCGTCCGCGTATTGGAAAGAAACAAACAGATCGCATAGTAAGTAGGTGAAAAAAAAAAAAACAAAAAGAAAAACACACGCGGAGCGGAGACATACAGAAAGTAAACGAATCGAGAGAGAGAAAGAGAGAAAGAGAGAGAGAGAGAGAGAGAGAGAGAGAGAGAGAGAGAGAGAGAGAGACGGAGTGGGGAGGGATGAAGGAGCGAGGTGATTGAACGACAGAGACGGAAAGAGGCCAAACGGTTGATGTTTAAAGTTGGAGTTGAATCGCGAAAGAAGGGGAAAGAGGAGGTGTGGCCGACCTTCGCGGGGACGCGCATTCGGCCGTCGCGCGTTAAAGTTAATGCCCGTGTTCCACCGATTTCTGAAATTGCACGGGAGGGAAAAAAAGGAGGCGATCAAAACTCAAAGAGAAATATGAAATATTCTTTCCAGATAAACAGCCGAATATGTACTGTTGCCAATGCAATGAAACAATTTATTTCCGACCCGATACCATATGCCATTATTATCTTCGATCAGCTAATTGGTATTTACCACGATGGCGCGTTACATCACTCGCCGACGTATAATTTGCGAGACGCAATATATATTAACGAAAGCGATTAACAGAATGGAAGATTAATTGAGTATTGCTGCGCAAGATTATTACGTGTCGGAATCCAGTTACGAATTTTCATCGAGAGCCCTCGCTTTCGCTCTTTCCTCCTATTTCGAGAAATTCGCACACGTCGAAGAGCTGACTCGAAGTGTGGTACATTGACCGTGCGGAAGAATTACGTGACTTTTATACTCGGGTGTCCACACAACGACGACACACCTTCGTGTCGCGTTGCCGCGTGTGAAGTTTTTATTTTGCGCTAGGTCAGACAGCTAACCTGCGACACTGGAAACCATCGTGGAATAATAGGGAGCGTAATTAGCATCTTTTACGGCGGCAAAGCGCGCGAGCATTCGTACGTAAACAGCGTAATCGGCATACCAATTACGAAATTTTAAAGAAAGTAGTATTACTCTCTCTAATCTTTTTTTAGCTAGATTTTTTTCTCCGATGAGTTTTGCTCCGTAAATATAGGCAAATAAACGTTATAATTATCACGTTAAACTTTTTTTCTTTTTTTTTTTTTATAAGCAACGATCGTAGAATAAATTGTTACAATGATGTATTTGTGATTTACCTGTATGTGCCTGATCGCGGCGTGAAGAATCGAAAGATTCGACGACTTTTTCTCTTCCTGCGACGGTAGCTGCCTCTTTAATAATTCGAAGCATTCTTTCAGGTGCGCTCGTCGATTTTTCTCCAATTTGTTATGCACTTCTCTGGTGCCAGAACGGATAACACACGGTCTAGAATAGAAAAGCGGACACATGTGAACACGCGGTAATTTACCGTTTTTTTTTTTTTTTTACATTTAAATGCATCTACATATGTGAAATCATTTGAACCATTTGACAGGTTAGTTTCGACGATCTATTGAAAAGTGTAATGGAAACGATCTGAAAACGAGAATTGGAAAGCACTGGATCGCATTGAAATATAATTCGTACGACTTGCGTCCCGATATAAATTACAATGTACGCACGGCTGTTTACTTCTAATTTGTCACGCATGCTCGGAAATGATTCGTGCAAGAGATGTTGGCACAAAATATCCCGATGTTCGTTCTTGCATCACTCTTACAAGATTGTCGAAGTACGACTTGTTTTGCGTGTAATAATAATTTATCAATTGGCAAATCACTATTAGAAAATTATTAAAAATAATAAGCACGTGAAAATCGGTAAGGAGGTAATTCCATATATATATATATATATATATATATATATATATATATATATATATATATATATATATATATATATATATATATATAAAAA